TTTTGGGATACCTGGAAAGAAAAGGCCTACTAATTTTTGCCTCCCCTTTGAACTTGAACCGCAGACCTCGTTATTCTCCTCTCATTTCATTGACCACTAGATCACACCCATGAGTGGACATTAACTGTTACTATATATTGATTGCTAAAAAACTAATCTCTCAAGAAACTGTGAAACAAGATGGGAGTTGCCACCTATCAATCGTATTTGACAAGATACTACCAATTTAGCAAATACTTACGAAGACTCGGTAGAATAAGTGAAAGATCACCACCAACACAAAAAGCCCTTCCTTGTCCCTGGAAAATATTGATACAAGAAAAGTAGTGACAAGAAAAGCACTATATACAGGTGAATTGATAGAACTTTGAAGCACACAACCAGGGCTTGTGACTAAAACCATAAAACATAAAACTGCATACACTACTAAAAAATCACTATTCTCCCATTGAAGTTCCCCAAATAAAAATGCTCGGTGGTTATTACCACAAGATATTTGATTAATCGGTGGAAAAGAAAAAACAGTAGATTTTTCATATGGAAAAATTAGGAAGCTTTCCAATATTTCAGCAAGAATCTATTTTCACCATGCATTTTCCCAGTGAGTTGGTTCGATGAGAAAATCATGCTCTATAACAAAAATTTCCATTGATTCGCAATGGGAAAAAACTCTAGCTATAGTGGTGAAAAAATAAGATACATGATATTAAGGCAATAATAACTATTTAATACAATTTCTAACAGATTCTTGATTTAATTTCAACAAAATCATTTTGGTAAACAGTTTTTTTTTTATATTGTGGACTGTTCCGAGTGTCAAGAAACATAAGCCTAATATATGCCGAGTTTAAAGCCAAACACTAGATTGATCAGAACCAGTGAGATATCAACTCAAAATCAATGCAACTCTGCCTTCATGTAGTCTCTAAATATTTTTGTGGGCAAAATCCATCATCAGGTCACCAAGTTACCCTCATGTTAAGCTATGACAGGAAACTTGATTATCACAGAAGATCCCGAAAATACCTTTAATATTATCATCTTCACATTGGGATCTTCTTCACTGGCATAGAAAAGTTCTGTAAGCCGATGTATCTGGACAAACAAACAGCTATGACTTATATCATGTCATCATATGTTAAATCAATTTCAATTTCAATTTCATTAAGAAACCAGATATTTATTCAAATATCCTGTGAAACGGGGATTGTATGAGTACAAAGCTCACATGTTCATCAAGTAAATATAATAAGAATAACCTGTTCATTATAATTGAATGAGAATACTAAACAAGAATCGAATATCAAATTAGTGTTCTAGCTATCATTATCATGAGCAAACAACAGATTCATGCTTGCTTTTCAAGTTCCAGTGATTCAATTTCATTAGATACCTTTTTTTTTTGTAATTATAAAAATATGGTTTATAGGCGAAACCGAAAAGCAGAACATCATTAGACCAGTTTAATAAAGATTATATAACAAAGTTGCATGTTAGTACATCCTTTAACTAGTACGGTGAATAAAAAACATCTTAAAGTATTTAAAATATTTTTATATCTTGTGATCTGTTTAATTAGATTTGTCAAATTACGAAAGAGTATTGTTTTTCTAAAATAAAAAAAATATAAATATTTTATTACATATGAAAAAAATCCATATAGGCCATTAACCAATATAGGAAATAATTTGTTCTATTTATCATATTAACTAGTTTTAGAGGACGTGCTTCGCACGTGTATTCTATGTGAATTTTTATAGATATGTTAAACGATAAAAATTTTATGGAAATATATATGTAAATTAATGAATAATATAATGTAACAATTACAAAATAAGAATAAAGACTTACGCAATAAAATATTCATAAAAAAACTAAATTAAGAATCTGATGGTGATAAAAAAAAAGACAACAAAAAGAAACAGATTTAAGAAAGATCTAATGTAAACATTGTTCTTATAATACTGATGTATGTATAGATGAAAAAATAAGTATAAATTAGTACATAACTCTCTGAGTTCTTATCGACTCCTTTCATATCCTATCAAAATTCAAGAGGTTTCTTCATCTACTTTAACTATAGAATGAAAATGATAGCCTAATAATCTTGGTAGGGATTTCATGTGATTAAAAAAGTTGAATTTATATAGATAGAATAGAAGGAATATCAAAAGATATATTAAAGTTTTAATTTAAATATTTGAAGGTTATGAATATGAAAAGATGAGAGTTATGAATATTAAGAGTATAAAGTTGAATAAGTAATTAACAAATAATAATAAATAAATGAAGAATATGAAAAAAGAAGTTAAAATTAGCAAACCATGTAGAAAGAACAACTAAAGGTCTTATCACGTAATTAAGCGTTAATGAATTTAAATTTGTGAAGATAGAGTCATTCTTTAATAATAATCGAGAGGACATTATCAACGTGTGTCTCCATTTTGCATATTTGCACCCTTTATATTATTAAATTCGTTATTTATCATAAAGGATAATACTTTATCCACATAAATTATATTATTCATGAGAGGGGTTAAAGAAAAAGTTATAAGAAAGAGGAAAAATATAGCAATTTAGTAAAGACTTTTTTTTTTAAAAAAAAGATTATAATTATTATATACATATATATTATAGATGATAAATATTAATTGGACATTTAATTAGAAATCAATCTTTAGAAGTCTAAAAGTCATTTACCTTTTAATTAAATTTATACAATCAAATATTTAAATATTTTATAACAATTTAATTTATAAAAGGGGTAAAATTGTAATTCAACTTTCAACTTCTTTTGTTCATGCTTTTAGCAATATATGATGTTTATGAAAATAAAGGCATTATTTTATTTGTTACATTATATTTATTTTTATTGACGGCGCTAAACGCAATAAATTAACTAATTTTTATAATAGAACAACAAAGACATAAAAAAATATAATTTGACATACCATTTGGGAAGAAAGTGCATTCAACATCTTTGGCCTATTTAATATGAATGTTCTAACGCTTCCAGTCTCCTCCACCAAAATCTGAAAATAAAAAATAACAGTTGCTATTATTTTTGTGATTTGGTATATGTGGGGTGTAACAATTTCTAAAATAAAAGGGGAAAAATGCATTATTTATTAGATCAATTCCCTTGTAATTCCAAGAGATTCAAAAAGTTAAATGAGATTACACCTCATTGGTTCCTCCATTGTTGGAAGAGGCCATGATGGGTTTTGAGCTTCTTTGGAAATGAGAGAGAAGATGAGTTTGTTGTCCTAATGTTTATAAGCTATATATAGATAGCTATATATACATATATCTATATTACATAATTAAATTAAATTTTAATTACTCTAAAATATAATACTCTGTTTATCCACTCTTGTTTCTCAAAATGTTAATTTGTTTAATTTTTAAAGTGAAATTATATTACGTTATTAAAGTAAAAATAATAAAAATAAGTCATAAGTTAGAAATCTGGCTTTTGGCTTTTAATCCAAACAGCCCCTAACATAAGACTTTTGGCTAATTTTTGTTATTTTGACTTTAAAATAAGTATTTGTTTTTAAAATTTATCCAAACATTTCAAAACTGCTTTAAAGTTATTTTGACTTAAAAATATTTAAAATAAGTCAATCCAAACAGGCACGTAAAAACTATTTTTTTAAGTCAATCCAAATAGACCCTAAAATTTTTTACTGTAAAAAAAATTAAAGCATATATCTCATTTCATAAGGTTGATAATTTTTGTTTAACTGATATTAAATATATATTGTATTAATATCATAATCATTGATACTTATTAGGATTTTGTCCTGATTTTCTTACTATATTTGAGCTTCTAATTTTCCCTCAAAGAAAAATTTAAGCATTACCATAATTGATTTTACTTTTTTCGAAAAGAAAATATAATTATTTTTCATATTTTATTCATTCTTTCTTTATATGAAAAGTTTGGAGGTCTATGAATTGAAGATCCATATTCTAATAGCAAAATACAATATAATCCATAATATGATCGTTCAGAGAGTTTTGTTTATGGAGAGATTTTTTCTCTGACTTTTTATTTATTTATATTATGTAGGCCAGTTGTCGTACCATATAATAATATTATGTGTTTTAATATAGTTTGTGTATCGTCTAATTTATCAATTATAATATTATGTGTTTTAATATAGTTTGTGTATCGTCTAATTTATCAATTATATTATTCGCAATCGTAAGCTATCGCATAACGCTCTAATTATTTTCAAACCCAACAATAATTTTGCTTAATTAATAATAAATCAGTATATAATTAAATTTCTTGTTCAGAAATTACTTATTAGTCAATAATACTATAAAAATATATGTATATTATTGTGATATCATTAATGTTTCTTGAAATTACTAATTACAATAATAAATTAGAGCAATATGAATAAAAAGATGTTTATCACTTGAACAACCCTCTCTTCTGAATTATTCATTATATTTGTATGCTCCAAATAAATTACGATGAATTCCAACTGGGCACATCCTATTATTAGTTGTCCACGTTCATTTTACATCTATGGTCAAATCAAGAGTTAATTATTTTGTCGACATGATTAAATAAGAAAATCTAAAAGCATTATAATAGTTTATCACACATTTAAATTAAAAGAAAAAAATGTTATGATTATTAATATATCAGATGAATGGTAATCAGTTTCTTTAGATCGATCCATTAAACAATTTTGAAAAAGAAAATAATACTTCACGCTTAAAGAAAAGAGAAGATATCAGAAACAAAAGAAAAAATAACATCATTTATTTTTTTAAGATTGATATTAAACAAGTTTACACTTTCCTTGAGATTCAAAAATTGAATTTAGAGCAAATTATTTAATTCGTGAATTTTGTTCCGCTACAATAATCAAAGAAGGATAAATCTTACACCGAATGTTGTTTCAATCTTTTAAATTTTGTTCTATGGGGGAATGAGTTTGAGTATGTAGTACTAGTGGACTTTGGAGCAACACACAACATTATAGATGAAAGAGAAAAAAATTAGAGCAAAAGTATTATTTAGTACTGCACAATCTATCCTTGTGCTTGAGGTTTGACATCTCTATTCAATGGCAAGTATCATGTACTAATTTTACGATACTAATTTATTTGGTGAACCACGTCGTAATGATATTAATACTGTTTTAATAGTCATTGAAACCTTCATAATGATGTGGTGAACAGAGGACAACATAATGTAGAATATTGCATGATTTTAAAGCTTGACAATTGCATATGGAGACATATTTGATCTTGGAGGCAGCTTTAGGTCTTCCCAATCTTCATCATCTATCTTGGAGAAGTAATGATCGACATCATCATCTCTAATTATTTCCAGTCTGGAGGGCTCCCACTGAATATATATGAAAAGATAAGCACAAGAATGAATGAATCTCGAAATCTAAATTCAGGAAATCCATGATCAAATGAATATAACGCACCTTAGGATTTCTATCCCTGTCGATCAATATGGCTCTGCATCCCTGCAGTAAAAGTGTCAGTCTTGTAATGCAGTAAAATGGATGCTGAAAGACGGCATATTCTACCTCAAAAAATCCTTGCAAAATTCTCCCCTCAACAAATGAATAATCTTAATCCAAGAGTAAAATCCAAATGCTCTTTCTGAGGTAGTTGTTACAAAATAAAAAAAAAATTGAGGCCCAAGGGTCACCATTTTTCATAACAAGGTATTGATTTGACTTACTGATCTCAAGGAAATTTTAAGACTTGTAGGGGGTGCTTTTTTCAGCGATTGAATGGTTGAAGAGATCCAGTCATCCTTCTTGTCCAAAACCTCACTTTCCTATTAAAAAATCATGCAAAGTTCTTACACAGTATTTTAGTAACTTACATTATCAGAATTTAACAGAGTAATTTCACCACAGAAAAAGGGAGGACATATCAAACGACCATCCATCTCCCAAACTTACAAGAGTAGATATGAACATCGATTAATAATCTTCATCCTACATACATAAATACCATTGGAAAGAGGTCATGAAATTCCAAGAATACAGGTTTGTTTTAATTGAACATTTTTTCCAAGAGACAATGGACACTTTGAAATGCTATCCATCATCTTAAGCTTCTAATAACGAAATAAAGTAGAGGAATAATAGTCTTACAACAACAGGAAGAAAAATAACATGAGAACAAAAAAAAAATAAACGGCATAGATGATGACTTCTGGAGGATGTTTGGATCTTTCAAGGTTGTATTGACTGGGTGCTTTGGCTTGTCGATTGGAGGAGCTGGGTTGCAAGGTATTTTGTTGAGCTATCCATTGAACTTTCTTCTTCTTGCCCTTTCCAGTGTTATTATTTTGATGATTTGGAGTCCCATTGAGGATTTTGGTTGGACTTGTTTTGCTCAGTTGTTGTCTGTGTGAGTCAAATTTGGATTCTTGGTGTCTGTCAGGAAAATTCCAGAAATCCATCTCAAGCACGGCAGAATAAATCCAAATTCAATACAAGCATGTTTAGCTTGGAACTGCAGGGAAGGTAATTAGAAATCACAGAATAATTCATATTTGTTGGTACCGTAAAGGGGCATATCAGTGTTGCCGTTATGTTAACCTACTGACCAGTTTACACATAATAGTAACAGAAAGCTAATTGATTTCCTATAGAAGCAATTGTAAATGGGAAGAACAAGCTGAAAATTGAGGATGGAGAGTATACATCCGATGATACAAAGTGGGTTGCAAGACCACGAGCAAGCATTTCAGCTCCATCCAACCTAGAACCAGTAAGACCAGCATATTCCCCTGCCAAAGAGTATCAAAATAAGCTAATGGAAAAGAACACCGTACAAATTCTCTGAGCATCACTCACAACGTAGGAAATGGTCTTCCAACAGAATCAGAATAAATAAATTCACAAAAGCAAAGGAAGGATCATATTTTTAAATAAAATTGGCTATAATTCATTCAAACATTTCAGAGATTTATTATAAATCCCAATTTTAAAATATCCCGTAGAGAGATACAACATGTTTTCAAAGTATATTTTACATTTGTGATGATTAAAGAAATTCAGGAATCATCATGAGAAGTTGAAAACTAAGGCAGATATCCTATAATAACTTAAACTTAAAAATTCAGCATAACTATGAAAAAGTTTTGTAGACAACACTTCTATGTGAGAAGGATCGACCTTAGTTTGTTTAAAGAGTGCAATATTACTTTTAATGGGATAACATGATCAGTGGATGGAAAATAGTGAAAAATATAAATCCTCAATGCAAATCCAAGGTACAAACTAATGATCATGAAGATTTACAGTTTGTATGGGTTTCCTCTAACTATGCTCTGGTTATGCTAGAGCCTCTTTTTATGAAGAAAGGTAAAAATAAATATACATTTACATTGAATATGATAAACAAAATCGAAGATTCAATGAGCTGACACCCAAATTTTGATCTTTTCCGATAATAATCAATTTTCAAGTTTCTCAAATTTTCAGACGGTTTGAAATGATTAGTTCCATACAATTTAAATAGTTCAAGGGTTATTTTAAATACTTCTCGTCATGTTCTTTATAATCTTTAAGTAATATTCTTATATGACTAGTATTTCTTTTAGTATTTCGAATGCCGTCTCAAAAATATTTTAATTTTTAGTAAATATTTCAATTCGTTCCTGCAAAATTTTATAGTTTTATATATATATATATATATATATATGAATTAACTAATTTATTTCGTCCAAGTTTCCTTAATTAATTTATAGAAATTCATCCTGTTTGCGTGTTTGACCAAATCCACCATCTAAATTCTTCTCAGAACCCAAACTGGTTATTATGGCAATTTAAGCGTGATCTTTTCAAACATTTGCAAGACCCAAATTGGGACCAATTAAATTCAGCCCAAACCTTCTTCCAAATTTGATCCATCCTCAAATTCGCTGAACCTAACCCATACTGACGGCTCTGCTTACAGGTGACACGTCGATAATCAAGGACAAAAGATCAATCGGTATCATTCCCGTCTTTTTCAAAATTTTGGGATTTGCTGAAATTTGAAGATAAGAAAATTATGGAGGAACTTTTTCTTCTTGTCTATTCATCTGTGTAGTATTCTTCTTTATATAACTCTATGTATACAGAAATAAATAATAAAAGAAAAGTAATATTTACACTTGTCCATTTGTCATTTGTCTAAGGCTGACAAAATGTAACTAATTATATTCTTTCTTCTGCCTTATCAAGTGTTCTATTATAGCTGGAATTGGAATTATCTAAAGGGTGGATATCATGTCCAACACATAATTGATCAACGATCCTTAAAGCTCCACGTGTCTTAGCTTTATGTGAATTAAGAACTGAATCATTTTGTTGTTGATTGTGTATTATGAACATAGATAAAGGTAGGTATTAAATCTACATCTTGACTTGGAGCATGTCTAAGCCATTTCTGTTTGTCCTGCAATTGCTTCACTTTTAGTGTCACACAACCTGTCTTTCATCCTCTCAAGCATGAAAATTTAGACGTGCATCTTTCATCTTGTTCGAAGTTTTTTTTTTTTTTTTTTTTTTTTAAAGAAAAGAATTGGGCATGGGCATCACTTTATGATAAATCAAATGTCTAGTTAAAATTCGCCAAACCCCTGCGAGGCGCTACTTTGATTTTAACGACTTAACCAAATCAAGCAAATCACTTGAAAATAAAATTTCATAAATTGAAATTAACTTAAATAGTAAATTAAATACTTCATCTTTTCAAATAATTTTTTATAACTTTTATCTCAAAAAATACATGTTAACCAATTTTTAGCTAAATGAGTTAGTTGCTGAAAAATCACATTAGTGGGTATTTTAGGTGCATTAAACACCTTCCTAAATATAAATATGAATTCTCAAACTCTTTTAATGTTTTCAAATCAATTTTTTGTTTAATTCTTTGAAAATTAAGTTTTTTTTTATTTTTCTTTAAAAATTAAGTAGTGACTCCTAAAATCAAGTCCAAAAAAACATAAAATAAATATATTTTCTTTTCGAAATTGTAAAACATATATTAGGGTTCTGTATCGATTTCATAAATATAAACATGATACATTACATAATAACGAAAATTATTGTAGCAGTGGAGTATCAAATCAGTGATAACACTAAAAAAAACTGATTTAATATATTAGAAAGTACAAACGAATGCATTAAACATAAATTTATTAATCAAAATCAACTAGATACATAAAAAAAATCTGAATTTTAGATAGAGAAGGGTGTTGAAACAAAGAAATTACAGATTAATTATGAATCAAAATCAAAGATACATTGAAAATATGAAGCCGGGTAGAGAAGAGTGTTTAGTAACATGTTCTACTTCCCCCCCCTTTTTTTCGGAATATTTCTCAATGTGTAATTTAGAACTTGAAATACATGTTTAATCGATTTCGAATCACAAACACGAGGGATGAGAACTTCCATTTGTATACCTAATCGGGTAAGACCAATATTAAACGATGGATCGGAATTCATATGTAACTTTTCATTGTCGTGTGACAAAATAATCGATTCATCTTTTCTCTTCCGTTCTTTTTACTTTGTTTTGTTCCATGTTCTTTCTGAAGATTGCCTGTTCATATCTTATCCATATGGCTAAGAAATTTATAGATGAAAATGCTAAAAAGAATTTGAAAATTGATAATTGATGAATTAGAAAGAAAAAAAGTGGATGAAGAAGAAGATACTCGAAAAAACAAAAAAGAAAAGATATGAAATATGAAGAAGAAGATTGATGAGCTGGAAAAGAAAAAGAAAAGATTTGAAATTCAGAAATTGAGTGATGAAGATAATTAGTGATACCATGAGTAATTTTAGGCGTGAAAAAAAGGAAAAAAATCGTGAGAGTGATTGTTTAGAGTGATGTATCTGAAAAAGTGAAACAAATTGAAGAAAGGAGGGATTTTTGTAATTTTTCAAAAATAATATGGAATGATAGAAAATAAGGTTAAAAAAGGTGTTTAGTTAGATAATTTATCCTAATTTGTATATTAATCCATTTTTTGCTCCCATAAATAGGACCCTATTTTTTATATTTAGAAATGGAGTTAAATTTTATTAAGGAATTACTACACTCTCTATCCATTTTTAATTGTTATGATTTCTTTTTTATCTCCAAAAAATAAGAATCTTGGCCAATAATTTACAGTATATTTTTTCATCATAATTCATACTCTATCCGTCCCATTTTATGTGACACTTTTTGAATTTTGAGTTTAAACAAGTCTATCTTTGACCGTAAGTTTTTCATAGACCCTTTTAATATTTTGAATTATCAATTATTGTGACTTGTAATACTCTTTACATAGTTTACAAATATATAAATTTTATTTCAAAAAATGTGAAGATTCCATACGCAAATGTCCGGTCAAAGTTAAACTGTTTGATTTTCGAAAAATAAAAAGTGTCATATAAAATGGGACTGAGGGAGTATTTGATATGTAAAAAAATTGAACCTTATAATACTTTCCGTATAATTTTTGTATATCTAAATTTTTTATTTAAAATATCGAATTAATGTAATTTTACTTTAAAAATTATAATATTTTCTGTATAATTTTTAAATATTTAACTTTCTTTTTTAAAAAAAAATATCAAACTAATATCATTTCACTTTTTAAAAAGGTAGTCAAATTAACTTTAAAAAACGCATGACAATTAAAATGGATGGCTAGAGAGTACTGTGGTAAATGACTAAATGTTGTTGTGCTCTCTCTTTCTTTGCATGTCAATCCAACAGACACGTGATTTACTCCAAGTTAGGGGTGATCTTGAGATACTTATATGCACATCAAATATGCTGATTAATATTATCTCCATTATTGATTCTAATCATTTTTCCACCATACACATGAATGAAAGTGATGTGATATACAGGAGTGCGGAGTTAAAAGGGTAAAAAAAATTGTTAAAAATTTCAAAAGGGCATATTAATTTCTTTTAAAATTAAAACGGTAAAAACGCTAGCGACTTGTACCTTCTGAAAAAGCGAAATCGCTGCCATAACAGCGATTTCTTAAAATTGCCTTTTTTTAAAAAAAAATAAAATTAAACAAATCGCTCCACACGGAGCGATTTTCAAAATTAAAAAAAATATATTATTTTTTTCTATAAGTCGCTGCTTCTGCAGCGACTTCCATCAAATTTTTTATTTTTTTTTGCTTTATTTAAAAGAAAAATTGATTCAATTTTTTTTAAAAAAAATCATTGGCAGCGATTTTTAATTAGTTTTTTTTATAAAAATCAAATCGCTGTAAAGGCATCGATTTACACTAAATTTATATTTTTTTTAAAAAAAACTAATTAAAAATCGTTGCCAATGATTTTTTTTTATTTAAAAATTGAATCAATTTTTCTTTTAAATAAAGCAAAAAATTAAAAAAAAATAAAAATTTGATGGAAGTCGCTGCTTCTGCAGCGACTTATAGAATATTTTTTTTATTTTGAAAATCGCTCCGTGTGGAGCAATTTGTTTAATTTTTTTTTAAAAAAAGAAAAGGCAAATTTAAGAAATCGCTGCTATTGCAACGATTTCGCTTTTTCAAAAGGTACAAGTCGCTACATCGTGAACGATTTTACCGTTTTAATTTTTAAAAAAAATTGATATACCCTTTTGGAATTTTTGATAATTTTTTTTTACCCTTTTAACTCCACACTCTGATATATAGTGCACTAATGAGAATTAATCACATATATAGTGCACTAAATCCCAATTAAAAACACCAATTCCAAAAGAAGTAAGGTTTATTCAAACTTTGTGGTAGTTGTTCAAAAATGGAGAAAAGCACGTCGCCATTTGTTAAGAAGCACTTTGTGCTAGTTCATACTGCATTCCACGGAGCGTGGTGCTGGTACAAGATTGTGGCATTGATGAGATCTTCAGGCCATAATGTAACAGCTCTTGACTTGGGCGCTTCAGGGATCAACCCCAAACAGGCCCTTGAAATCCCAAATTTTTCTGATTACTCGAGTCCGCTAATGGAGTTCATGGCTTCACTCCCTGCAAATGAAAAACTAATTCTCGTAGGTCATGCCTTAGGTGGACTCGCCATTTCTAAAGCCATGGAAACCTTTCCAGAAAAGATTTCAGTTGCTGTATTTCTCAGTGGTCTAATGCCTGGTCCAAATATCGATGCAACCACCGTCTACACTAAGGTACCAATTTTTTTTCCATATACATTCACAACCATCGTTTCGTTTGAAACTAATTAAATAAATATACTTCATTTTAGGCAGCTAGTGCAGTGATAGGTCAACTGGATAATTGTGTTACATACGAAAATGGACCAACGAATCCTCCAACCACTCTCATCGCAGGTCCCAAGTTCTTGGCAACTAATGTTTATCATCTGAGCCCAATTGAGGTAGCAAATATCATAATACAAACATAATTGCAGTTGAAATAGCTCATCACTGACTGAACTAATTTAAATCTCTTTTTTTTTTATTCTTCTTGGTGTTAGGATTTGGCGCTGGCCACTGCACTAGTGAGGCCATTTTATTTATATCTCGCGGAAGATATTTCTAAGGAGATAGTTCTTTCAAGCAAAAGATATGGATCCGTTAAGCGAGTGTTCATTGTTGCTACTGAAAGTGATGCCTTCAAGAAGGAATTTCTAGAATTGATGATTGAAAAGAATCCACCTGATGAAGTGAAAGAGATCGAGGGGTCTGACCACGTGACCATGATGTCTAAGCCCCAACAACTTTTTACTACTCTTCTTAGCATCGCTAACAAGTATAAATAAAAAGCTATTAGGATCTTCTTCACTGGCATAGAAAAGTTCAGTAAGCCGAGATATCTGGACAAACAAATAAAGTTTGAGGGGACAATTATCACTTATCATATGTCAAATCTATTTCATTAGAAAACAAGATATTTACTCAAATATTGTATGACTAAAAAGCTCACTTGTTCACCCCAGTAAATATAATAAGAATAACCTATTCCTTCTAATTGCGTGAGCAAGCAACCGATTCAAACTTGCTTTTCAAGTTCCATAGTAAATCAATGTCATGAAAATTATATACTATAACAAAGTTGCATGTCAGTACATCCTTTAACTAGTACAGTGAACAAAAAACATTCTTAAAGTATTTAAAATTTCGTAAATTCCATTTTCTGTCAAACCCTGTTAGAAAAATAGCCATCGATTCTATAGAGCCAGCCGCTTCTAATGGACACAGATTCATTTTGGTTGCCATCGATTATTTCACCAAGTGGGTGGAAGCAGCCTCTTACAAATCGGTAACCAAGAAAGTGGTGGCCGACTTTGTCCGCAACAATCTGATATGCCGATTTGGAGTTCCAGAATCCATCATCACGGATAACGGTGCAAATCTCAACAGTCATCTGATGAAAGAGATATGTGGAAAATTTAAGATTGTTCACCGAAGGTCCACTGCTTATCGCCCTCAAATGAACGGAGCTGTAGAGGCCGCCAACAAGAACATCAAGAAGATTCTGAGGAAAATGATTGACAAGCAGCGGGGTTGGCATGAAATGTTGCCATATGCTCTACTGGGTTATCGAACGACGGTCAGAACATCAACTGGAGCTACTCCATACTTGCTAGTATACGGAACAGAAGCAGTCGTACCTGTTGAAGTCGAGATACCGTCACTGAGGATCATCCAAGAAGCTGAGCTAAGTAATGCTGAGTGGGCTAGCAAACGGATTGATCAACTAGCTTTGATTGATGAGAAGAGGATGGTTGCTATTTGCCATGGCCAGTTGTATAGACAAAGAATGACTCGCGCTTTTCACAAAAGAGTAAGAGCCAGAAATTTTGAAGTTGGTCAGTTAGTTCTTAAGCGTATTTTTCCTCATCAAGACGAGCACAAAGGAAAGTTCGCACCGAACTGGCAAGGTCCTTACATGGTTCGCAAAGTACTATCTGGAGGTGCTTTAGTCTTGTCAGAGATGGATGGCGCTGTATGGCCCAAGCCTATCAACTCAGATGCTGTCAAGAGATATTACGCGTGAAGTTCGTTTTGCATTTCCCATCATTTACTTGTAATCTTCTGTTTGCTTGCATTTGTTCGAATTCGAATTCTTATCCCTCTTGTAACGAACTACGTCTGACCTGAATTCTCGAGAACGAGATACGTAGGCGGCCCATGTCGGCTTCGGTCACCCCATTTATCCCCTTAATCATTTCTTTGTAACGAACTACGTCTGACCTGAATTCTCGAGAACGAGATACGTAGGCGGCCCATGTCGGCTTCGGTCACCCCATTTATCCCCTTAATCATTTCTTTGCAACGAACTACGTCCGACCTGAATTCTCAAGAATGAGATACGTAGGCGGCCTATGTCGGCCTCGGTCGTTTCATTATCAAAACTTCCTATTTTGGTTAACCGTTGAGAGGGGAACTACGCTTGACCTGATTCCTGCCGCAACGGGATACGTAGGCGCCACAAGGGCTCGGTCATATCTGTCGAAAATTCTATTTCCCCTTCTACAATAGAAACTGGGACAGAATTTTGAGAGGGACTCAAAAATTCTCCAGAAGGAACCTTCTCCTCAGCGGATCAAACTAAAGACATTTCGAATTTGCGACTGGGACAGAATTTTTGAGAAGATCTCAAAAATTCCGAGATCTGTGCGATTGCAATGGAAAGAGGAGCAAGATACTAAACTGGGACAGAAATTTTGAGGATAGCCTCAAAATTTCGTCATGGGACTTCCCTACAAGTCCGGAATGCCTCTGAAATTCATTCGACAAGCGTCGGACTCAAAGAAGCTCGTTAAGCCTGACATGACATGACTTGGCATTGACTTTTCGAGATACTATTTCTTAAAAAATTTCTTACTTCTCTTAAAAATTTTCCTTTTATATTTCATCTGTTTTGGCATAAGATATTTTCTTATCTATCAAGAGTCGGGAAATCGGGAAATCAACCGGAGACATCAAGACAAGGAGCAAACAACCGAAGGGATCGACACAGATCAGTATGTTTAAAACTGACAATTTTTCTGTGGATGCAGGTTATAGCTTCGCTTCAAAATCGGCCGAATTCTTCCGACTTATGAATACGGAGAAGGAGAAAACTATCTCCAAAACCAGTGATTTTATTGAAAGCGGGAATATCGTTTGCGTCAGGATGCTTATGAATGTGTTTGTTTATTTCAAACCATTCTCAACAATGGGAAATTTACAAAATATCCAGTCAGATTCAAAGGTGAATCAAACGGGAATCTCAGCGAAGATTTCGTGATTTCTATAGATAGCGCTATTTGCATTGCGTTATCAAAGCAAGATGATTATTGTCGATCAAGGCCATGCATTACCTCAGAAGAGACGGTTATGCAATTATTATTTTATTATTATCGATCAAGTCGACGTATTATTTGGAGATCATCTTATCGTTACTATTCACGGGGGCGATATAAATATTCATGCATCACGAATTTATACACTGAAGAATCATGCATCGCGGAATCATGCATAGCGGAATCATGCATCGCGGGAATCATGCATAGCGGAATCATGCATAGCGGAATTCATGCATCGCGGAATCATGCATCGCGAGTCAATAATCATGCATGACGAGAAGATTTCATGCCTCGTCGAAATTTATACATCGCGAGAAGAATTTATGCCTCGCTGGAATTCATGCATCGCGGAATCATGCATCGCGGAAATCATGCATCGCGAGTCAATAATTATGCATGACGAGAAGATTTCATGCCTCGTCAAAATTTATACATCGCGAGAAGAATTTATGCCTCGCTGGAATTCATGCATCGCGGAATCATGCATCGCGAGTCAATAATCATGCATGACGAGAAGATTTCATGCCTCGTCGAAATTTATACACCGCGAGAAGAATTTATGCCTCGCTGGAATTCATGCATCGCGGAATCATGCATCGCGGAAATCATGCATCGCGAGTCAATAATTATGCACGACGAGAAGATTTCGTGCCTCGTCAAAATTTATGCACGACGAGAAGAATTCATGCCTCGTCAAAATTTGCACATCGCAAGAAGATTTTATTCTTCGCTGAAAGTTATGCATCGCGAGAAGATTCATATCTCGCAGGAATTTACGTATCGCGGGAAGATATTCATGACCCGCAAGAAGACGTACTTAGATAAAGAAAGAGCAATACTTATCCATTGGCCTCGACTGCATTATGTTATTTCTTATAAAAATAAACATCATGGAGAGCATCGAAGATGACAACAAAAGAAACATCAATATCGCATCAGCATTTATTTATTTATTTCGACATCAAGTATGGAATACATTGAAGATGATATTGCAAAACACAAGGCATAAGCTTTATTTGCTGGACGTCAGACCGATCGAGTCGACGTCGAACATGGAGGAGAACAATGAAGTGTCGACATGGTAAAAGACACTGTCTCCCATCCTAATTGCATTTTTTAAGCTGACGAGTTTTATCTCAGTCTTTGTCGAGAGCATCCAAAAGGATGAATTCTCCAAAAACCACAGGTGCGGACGACATCAAAAAGGATGCAGCACAACGTGGAACTTTTTCTTAGCAGCGAACTGGGACACAGTCCAAAGAGGAGTGTCAAACTCTTAGGACGCGAGCAGAGGAGCGACTTCCACCACAATCGAACCACCCTCTCGAGGCTTACGGGTTTTCTCTAGTTCTGTCAGTTTTTGTCTCGCTTCCGAAAGTTTTGTTTTATCGGAAGCAAGTTTCCAATCTGAGTGACAATACGCCAAAAGATTTGGAAATTATGTCCGTGTAAGTTCTTAATTATGGGTGTGAAGCGCGCCACATTCATGGCTAAGAGGTTACAAGCCTCTTTTTCATACTCGTTTAATGTGTCACTCGTCCAAAACCGAAGGTTAGCCAGCATAATAGTTTTCCTTTTCCAACGATCGAGTCGAACTACACACAGCCTGATTCCGAAGGTTTAAGGGTATGTAGGCGGATTCAATGTTGAAAACTCGGCTGTATTCCAACATTCGCTCTCGAATTCTATTCTCGAGCATTTCGATACCTTCATAATTCGGTGTCGAGGTGGCTTTTGATTCTTTGAAATCGTGCGGTAAATCAGCTTATCGAACTACAAGTGGCCTGAATTCTCACATAGCCTGAGATATGTAGGAAAACCGTTCGCGAGGGTTCGGCCATAACTCATAAATCCTATGTCAAATCCTTTCTTTAAAATGAATGGAGTTGGTCAAAATTGGTTTGGTCAATTTCATTTTCCTTGAGTTGCTTGCATCAACCCAAGAAAAATGAGGGACAGTTGTTGACACCCAATTTTGACCCACATTGGTGTAAATTAATTATCGAGCTTCGAGAATTTTTAAAATTATTTAAGTTAATTAGTTTTATAAATCTTGCAAAAATTTTTTAAAAAAAAAAAAAAAAAAAAAGAGAAGAAGATTTTAAAAATATATACATGTATATATGTATATGTATATATATATATATACATATATATATATATGTATGTATATATATGTATATAAATTAAAAAATATACATAATGTATGAATTTTATGTTACTTCGAATACGCTTTGACATAATTTTCGATAATATATATATATATATATATTTTACATAATTATGTATATAAGTAGTATATCTTACGATTATTCCACAATCATCAAGATATACATTTGAATGTTTTATTAAACTAGCCTTAGTTCAAATTATAATTATACGTTTGAATCACTTTAATGATTTTATAATTATTATATATAAAGAAGCTCGTTAATTAATTGATACGAATTCATTTTTATTTTGGGGTT